TCGTAAAGTGGTCAATGGAACATCCAACCGGACAAACTGTTAAGTTCCGTGAGGTATTCTCGTAAATCCGAAGGTGCTATTTAGAGAATTGCTTGTACTGTTAAATAATAAAAGTATTATGAAAACCAAACTGAGCCTATCTGATGTAAGCCAAGTACCACAATGCTTTGAATGGCAGTAACTTTCGAAATCGTTTTGTCGGAACACATTCCGCATTTACAGTTCTGGCAGTTCGGAGTGAAAGAAACTCAAAAACGAAGAAAAAAACATGAGCAAAGCAACATTATTCATACAAACATGCACGATAAGAAAAGAAGGGTTGAGGATAGTAAACCTCTGCTCAATGCACTTTCCACTACCTCAGATAAGTAGAAATGGGGAATGACAACTTTTTTAGCATCAACAGCCATTTGCGTTTGATCGTTTCGTCACCCAAAAATTGCCTCAAGAGGCGAGGTGAAGGGGCTTGAGTGCCTTCAGCATTTAGGCTTCTGATAATTATAATTCACGCTATTTTCATATATGGTGATTTGATCTGAAAAACAAAAAATTCCAGTCGCTAAACTACCCGTTCCGATGGCACATTGGCACCTTTCATCTACCACGGAATCAGAGCAGCCAACAGCGGATTCCAAACCTCAGGAAGAGGGAACCAGTGAAATGCTGTATGCAGCGCGCTATTCGAGCCGCTTTCGAGTATCAGTACCATACAAAGGTAGTAGAATGTGAAGGAGTTCCGACTTTTGGCATCTGGAAAGTCTGTGACAGTGGTCACTTAGCTACCGCTGCAGAGGAGGAAAAATGAGGGAAATTAATTTGCATATAAAATAACAATAATCGAGACAACAAGGCACATCCACCCCTGCTGCAACTTCCTCTTCGAGTTAGCAAAAAGTACACGGATGCATTGATAATTCTTGCTCTCACTCGCACGCATAGCTTTGTCTGTGTTTACAGCTAAGAGATGAAACACTGGCTGTTTCCTTATATCTTATTAAATATATGACTTTTATTCCTCTGCTTTCCATCCTATTATCACAGGATAACTGAGAAGAATTTGAATTTTTGCATGAAGCAGCACGAATGGTGATGAATGAATTCGGTAAGGCACCTAGTTCTCCGCAAAATACAAAAATCCCAACTATACAAAGGTATGATGACTTTTGTGACGAGATTTTGGAGTTGGATCAGACGGTTTCTGAACCGAAGGCTGTCGTCGCTGCTGTTCCGAGTCTTGTTCCACGAAGGGTTGTTGCAACACAAAAGTTGTTGCGTGTTGCGCCGGAAACCTGTAGCTTTGAGAATTGCTGCCAACCGAAAGATTGCTCCGAGGTAGGTCCTCGTTGACGCTAACACGCATTAAAAAATTCTGCAGCGGTGTGTCTGTTTCAGCAGCTTCCTAAACATCAAGCGCTAATAAGTTGTATAACTGATGATGATGATGGTAGAAGATAAAAAAAACAGCACATGCTAAAAATATGACGTTTTATGTTACCTGGGCATTTTGCACACGTGCATAATACGGTACTGCATATCGGGATTGCCTCGGTCTCTGAAACCGATAGTTCCAATTACCGTAGGTAAAACTTGCATACATCGCACAGTAGGAAGTAGCGCTGTTTTCGTACAGAAGAAGATCGATGGTTCTACTCCTTTGCTGAGCAAAAACAATCCTTCTTGCTATTCTTTCACCCCTTCGGACGGTAAATTCGAAGTGGGATATTCTAGAAAGGCAAACTCGTCATCAGCTTGCTTCTAAGTAACCCTCGAAAGAGGCAGCCATCGACAGCTTCGTCAGCCCATGGTTGCTATTGGTGCTTGCTTGCTAGTACTTGGACTACTTTTTTTACGAATGCCCTCGCCTCCCATAATGTAACAAATACAGAGGGAGATTTTGGTTTTATGCCAAGATAGAGCTGAGAGCTCCCTGTAGAGAACAGCGGCGAACTGATAAACTGAAAACAAATCGTTGTGCTTCTCTGCCCTACCAAACATGCGACGGAGGGTTTCCTTGTAAATGATGAATTTAAATTTGGATGTGAACACAGCACTTTTTTAAAATAATTTTAACTATACTATATTAAACCTAGGAGTGAAAACCTCCTCCAGAATTAGTAAATTAAAATGAAAAATCATTGGCGACGCGCACGGGGGGAGGGGGAGGGGGGGAGGAGAGAGGGACCATGCGATCATGCGTTTTTGCAGTGTTTCATGCTGGAATAAGATTACTCGAAATTCCGCTAGCTAGAAACCTCTTGTACATACTGGTCCTCGAATTTCGGGAACTTGATTATGCACGCCATAGTTTGGAACATTCCCTTGAAATCTCAGGTTCCCAGCTTTCTTAGTCCCCGAGTTACCCAAACTGCAGCCAAAAAATTTCACGGGCCGTGCGTAGCCACCACGCATAACGGGGGGCTGAATTTGATAAATTCAAGTTGTAGATGAATTGGGAACATTTCCTGAAATTTTAGCCTCCCGGCTTTCTTGGTTCCCGAGCTAGCGATTTTCGCACCAGGAACCCTCAGGGGGCCGTACGCGAGAAACATGAACCCCCGAGGCTGAATTTGAAATCTTTAAGTTCTATAGGGGCGGGGAACATAACCTCAAAATTTCAGCTTTC